AATTCCAATTCCTCAATGTTAGTCTTATGTTTGGGAAAAGGATTTTACAGCTTTGTTGAATGACAGGCAGAGTCCAGGCCTGGATCTCTCACCTTGGCAGAAACTCTGCGATTATTTTGGCGACAAATCGAAGATTTCCGAAGTCGCGATTATTTTCTCTATATCTCTATTATTGGCCGAGATTGCGGAATTTTCCAGATGAGTCAATGTGACGTCACGGCATTGTCGGGAGACTATAAAAGGACCGTGCTTGGTTTTTTGAATTTGAGTAACTTTATATGTAACCTCATGGAAATGAAATTCGTGAAACTCATTCTGCTGCACTAAAAAATATGAGCCCTCCCGGCGAATCGAACGGTCTCCCGCGTGACGGGCGGGGATACTGACCACTACGAGGACAAAGCGCTTGCCGAAGCCGGGATCAACCAGGGACCTTTAGATCTTCAGTCTAACGCTCTCCCATCTGAGCTATTTCGGCACCCTTCACTCTCGACATAGCTTCAGCCCTGTATGTGCAGGATCGTTATTGAGGGACATGATGAAAGGAAGGCGGATCTCCCCATAACTTTTCACATTCTATACCTTAGTACGGCAAATGAAAACCAAACACGATACGTCTGATCTCTCTGGCTTTCTATTTTAATAACAAGTGTTGGAGGATACTGATGATTTGAATTTTTAGGAAATTTTTATGTGATAATGCATTATATATTTGCTTGTTGTTAATTTAACAATTTCATAAAGAGTATCGGGCGAAAAACAGATAATTTAAAATCCAGACATTAAGAACGTTATAAAATATGTTAGTTCTTGAATGGTATTGCATATTTGCTACGAACATGGAATTCCAATTCCGTAATGTTAGTCTTATGTTGGGAAAAGTTTTTTAATGGCTTGGATGACAGGCTCCAGGCCTGGATCTCTACCTTGGCAAAAGAACTCTGGATTATTTTGGCGACAAATCGAAGATTCAGTCGCGATTATTTTCTCTATCTCATTATTGGCCGAGATGCGGAATTTTCCAGATAGGTCAATGTGACGTCACGGCGACGGGGAGACTATAAAAGGCGTGCTTGGTTTTGAATTTGAGTAACTAATATACTCGGGAAATGAAATTCGTGAAACTTTCATGCTGCACTAAAAATATGAGCCCTCCCGGCGATCGAACTGACTTCCGCGTGACGGGCAGGGGATACTGACCACTATACTACCGAGGACAAAGGCGCTTCAGAAACCCGGGATCGAACCAGGGACTTTAGATCTTTCTAACGCTCTCCCATCTGAGTATTTCGGCACATCTTCACTCTCACAGATAAGCTTCAGCCGCTTTAATCCGTATTTGCAGGATCTTTTGAGGGACATGATGAAAGGACGGATCTCCCATAACTTTTCATTCTGATACCTTAGTACAGGCAAATAAAAGAAACCAAAAACGATACTCTAGTCTCTGGCTTTCTATTTTTAATAAGTGTTGGAGGATACTGATGATTTGAATTTTTAGGAAATTTTTATGTGATAATGCATTATATATTATTGCTTGTTATTTAACAATTTCATAAAAGTATGTCTGGGCAGAAAAACAGATAATTTATTAAAATCAGACATTAAGAACGTTATAAATATGAGTTAGTTCTTGAATGGTATGTGCACATATTGCACGAACATGGAATTCAATTCCGTAATGTTAGTCTTATGAGTTGGGAAAAGGATTTTTGGCTTAATTTGATAAGGCGTCGAGCCTGGATCTTCACCTTGGCAAAAGAACACTGCGATTATTTTGGCGACAAATCGAAGATTCCGAAGTCGCGATTATTTTCTCTATATCTATTATTGGCCGAGATGCGGATTTTCCAGATGAGTCAATGTGACGTCACGGCATTGTCGGGAGAGATATAAAGGACCGTGCTTGGTTTTGTAACATATGAACTGGAAATGAAATTCGTGAAACTCATTCTGCTGCACTAAAAATATAGCCCTCCCGGCGAGAATCAACAACCACGTAACTTCCATGTTCGTAGCAAAATGTGCACATACCATTCAAGAACTAACTCATATTTTATAACGTTCTTAATGTCTGGATTTTAATAAATTATCTCTTTTTTCGCCCAGACATACTTTTATGAAATTGTTAAATGAACAAGCAAGCAATAATATATAATGCATTATCACATAAAAATTTCCTAAAAATTCAAATCATCAGTATCCTCCAACACTTGTTATTAAAAATAGAAAGCCAGAGAGATCAGACGTATCGTGTTTTGGTTTTCATTTGCCTGTACAAAGGTATCAGAATGTGAAAAGTTATGGGGAGATCCGCCTTCCTTTCATCATGTCCCTCAATAACGATCCCGCACATACGGGATTAAAGCGGCTGAAGCTTATCTGTGAGTGTGAAGATGTGCCGAAATAGCTCAGATGGGAGAGCGTTAGACTGAAGATCTAAAGGTCCCTGGTTCGATCCCGGGTTTCGGCAAGCGCCCTTTTCCTCGGTAGTATAGTGGTCAGTATCCCCGCCCGTCACGCGGGAGACCGGGTTTCGATTCCCCGCTGGAGATGGTTCTATTTTTGTAGTGCAGCAGAAAGAGTTTCACGAATTTCATTTCCATGAGTTTACATATAAAGTTACTCAAATTCAAAAACCAAGCACGGTCCTTTTATATTCTCCCCGAAAAGGCCGTGACGTCACATTGACTCATCTGGAAAATTCTGCATCTCGGCCAATAATAGAGATATATAGAAAATAATCGCGACTTCGGGAATCTTCGATTTATCGCCAAAATAATCGCAGAGTTCTTTACCAAGGTGAGAGATCCAGGCCTGGACTCTGCCTGTCATTACAAATTAAGCCATGTAAAATCCTTTTCCCAACCATAAGACTAACATTGACGTGAATTGGAATCCCATGTTCGTAGCAAAATGTGCACATACCATTCAAGAACTAACTCATATTTTATAACGTTCTTAATGTCTGGATTTTAATAAATTATCTCTTTTTTCGCCCAGACATACTTTTATGAAATTGTTAAATGAACAAGCAAGCAATAATATATAATGCATTATCACATAAAAATTTCCTAAAAATTCAAATCATCAGTATCCTCCAACACTTGTTATTAAAAATAGAAAGCCAGAGAGATCAGACGTATCGTGTTTTGGTTTTCATTTGCTACTAAGGTATCAGAATGTAGTTATGGGGGAGATCCGTCTTCCTTTCATCATGTCCCTCAACGATCCTGCACATACGGGATTAAAGCGGCTGAAGCTTATCTGTGAGAGTGAAAAGTGCCGAAATAGCTCAGATGGGAGAGCGTTAGACTGAAGATCTAAAGGTCCCTGGTTGATCCCGGTTCGGCAAGCGCCTTTGTCCTCGGTAGTATAGTGGTCAGTATCCCGCCTGTCCGCAGGGGAGACCGTCTGACTGCCGGGAGGCTCAATTTTTTAGTGCAGCAGAATGAGTTTCACGAATTTCATTTCCATGAGTTTCATATAAAGTTACTCAAATTCAAAACCAAGCACGGTCCTTTTATAGTCTCCCGACAATGCCGTGACGTCACATTGACACTATCTGGAAAATTCCGCATCTCGGCAATAAGATATAGAGAAAATAATCGCGATTCGGAATCTTCGATTTGTCGCCAAAATAACGCAGGTTCTTTGCAAGGTGAGAGATCCAGGCTCCTGCCTGTCATTCCAAATTAAGCCATCTAAAATCCTTTTCCCAACTCATAAGACTAACATTACGGAATTGGAATTCCATGTTCGTACAATATGTGCACATACCATTCAAGAACTAACTCATATTTTATAACGTTCTTAATGTCTGATTTTAATAAATTATCTGTTTTTCGCAGACATACTTTTATGAAATTGTTAAATAACAACAAGCAATAATATATAATGCATTATCACATAAAAATTTCCTAAAAATTCAAATCATCAGTATCCTCAACACTTGTTATTAAAAATAGAAAGCCAGAGATCAGAGTATCGTGTTTTGGTTTTCATTTGCCTGTACTAAGGTATCAGAATGTGAAAAGTTATGGGGAGATCCGCCTTCCTTTCATCATGTCCCCAAACGATCCTGCACATACGGATTAAAGCGCTGAAGCTTATTCGAGAGTGAAGATGTGCCGAAATAGCTCAGATGGGAGAGCGTTAGACTGAAGATCTAAAGGTCCCTGGTCTGATCCCGGTTTCGGCAAGCGCCTTGTCCCCGGTAGTATAGGTCAGTATCCCGCCTGTCACGCGGGAGACCGAGGGATTTCCCCGCGGGAGGGCTCAATTTTTTTAGTGCAGCAGAATGAGTTTCACGAATTTCATTTCCATGAGTTTACATATAAAGTTACTCAAATTCAAAAACCAAGCACGGTCCTTTTATAGTCTCCCCGACAATGCCGTGACGTCACATTGACTCATCTGGAAAATTGCATCTCGGCCAAAATAGAGATATAGAGAAAATAATCGCGACTTCGGAATCTTCGATTTGTCGCCAAAATAATCGCAGAGTTCTTTGCCAAGGTGAGAGATCCAGGCCTGGACTCTGCCTGTCATTCCAAATTAAGCCATTAAAATCCTTTTCCCAATCATAAGACTAACATTGACGGGAATTGAATTCCATGTTCGTGAAGTAATATGCACATACCATTCAAGAACTAACTCATATTTTATAACGTTCTTAATGTCTGATTTTAATAAATTATCTGTTTTTTCGCTCCAGACATACTTTTGAAATTGTTAAATTAACAATCAAGCAATAATATATAATGCATTATCACATAAAAATTTCCTAAAATTCAAATCATCAGTATCCTCCAACACTTGTTATTAAAAATAGAAAGCCAGAGAGATCAGACGTATCGTGTTTTGGTTTCATTTGCCTGTTCTAAGGTATCAGAATGTGAAAAGTTATGGGAGATCCGCCTTCCTTTCATCATGTCCCTCAATAACGATCCTGCACATACGGATTAAAGCGGCTGAAGCTTATCTGTGAGAGTGAAGATGTGCCGAAATAGCTCAGATGGGAGAGCGTTAGACTGAAGATCAAAGGTCCCTCGATCCCGGGTTTGGCAAGCGCCTTTGTCCTCGGTGATAGTGGTCAGTATCCGCCTGTCACGCGGGAGACCGGGGTTCGATTCGCCGGGGAGGCTCTATTTTTAGTGCAGCAGAATGAGTTTCACGAATTTCTATTAGAGTTTACATAAAGTTACTCAAATTCAAAAACCAAGCAGTCCTTTTATAGCTCTGACAATGCCGTGACGTCACATTGACTCATCTGGAAAATTCCGCATCTCGGCCAATAATAGAGATATAGAGAAAATAATCGCGACTTCGGAATCTTCGATTTGTCGCCAAAATAATCGCAGAGTTCTTTGCCAAGGTGAGAGATCCAGGCCTGGACTCTGCCTGTCATTCCAAATTAAGCCATGTAAAACTTTTCCCAACATAAGACTAACATTGACGGAATTGGAATTCCATGTTCGTAGCAATATGTGCACATACCATTCAAGAACTAACTCATATTTTATAACGTTCTTAATGTCTGTATTTTAATAAATTATCGTTTTCTGCTCCAGACATCTTTTATGAAATTGTTAAATTAACAATCAAGCAATAATATATAATGCATTATCACATAAAAATTTCCTAAAAATTCAAATCATCAGTATCCTCCAACACTTGTTATTAAAATAGAAAGCCAGAGAGATCAGACGTATCGTGTTTTGGTTTTCATTTGCCTGTTCTAAGGTATCAGAATGTGAAAAGTTATGGGAGATCCGCCTTCCTTTCATCATGTCCCTCAATAACGATCCTGCACATACGGGATTAAAGCGGCTGAAGCTTATCTGTGAGAGTGAAGATGTGCCGAAATAGCTCAGATGGGAGAGCGTTAGACTGAAGATCTAAAGGTCCCTGGTTCGATCCCGGCCTGGCAAGCGCCTTGTCCTCTGGTAGTATAGTGGTCAGTATCCCGCCTGTCACCGCGGGAGACCGGGTCTGATTCCCCGGGAGGGTCAATTTTTTTAGTGCAGCAGAATGAGTTTCACGAATTTCATTTCCATGAGTTTACATATAAAGTTACTCAACAAAACCAAGCACGGTCCTTTATATCTCCCCGACAATGCCGTGACGTCACATTGACTCATCTGGAAAATTCCGCATCTCGGCCAATAATAGAGATATAGAGAAAATAATCGCGACTTCGGAATCTTCGATTTGTCGCCAAAATAATCGCAGGTTCTTTGCCAAGGTGAGAGCAATACGTAACTGAACGCGCACAATGA